TGATAACAATCCATAGCCGTTAAAATCAAAAAGTAAGCAAAAAATTGTTCGGATATATTACTTCAGTCAGATTGGTGATTTGACTTCCCCATCGTATAACAACCCTAGTCCTAGCACAAAAGATCATTATATCGTGAGAAACGCATATAATTTTTTCCTCTATAATTATTCAAAAGAAAGCGTTATAGCAAATTCCCATTCTCACATTCTAAAGATTCAGCTGCGGTTAAACTTTTAACAAACCAAAAATGCAAATACGTTTCTTACAAAAGAAGACTTCTTCTTTCAAAATGATATAGGCGCATTCGCAGAACTGATGGTTTTTGAAGATTTTGGGCTTGAAAAGAATGACGCGCACTTATCCGACATTTTATTAGAACTAGCCTCTAGCAACACTGCCAAAGCTTCTTTAGTATTTCCTCTTGCGTAGATCACATTAGCGTGTCCTAGCAATGCATCCATTGTTTTGCTGAGTTTTCTGGGAATACGCTCCCTTTCTGTTGAAAAATCTGCGACGGCTGGCTGAGAAGTTGATGGTTCATCAGTCTCCATCGGCAATGCTGATGGAAGGGCATCAGCACGACATGCGCCTAGTTCGTCGTTTACAATCTTAACAAAACTATTAATTTTGATTGAAACAAACTGTGTATTGGGTTTTGAAATATAAGTTAAAGATAATTAGGAAAACTGATAGGTGTAAATTTGTAGCATTTCCAAGAAAGAAAGGTTCGAGCATAAAAGGATCTCCGCGAATTTCTAAGCGTCATATGGAAAGTATCGCTAGAAATATACCTACGAAGAAAAAAGAATGAAGCCTACTTCCTGCATCAAATTTCTTATGTGGACGGGAAGATCACCACCAGCACGAGAAGTGAACTCATCTTTGATAGGCTGACTCTAAAATACTACGTGGAAAAAATCATATATCAGAAAAAAAGAGTGGTTTTACCTGCACTTCATCTGCCGTTCCAGACTCATCTTCTTCGTCCTCCATCGAATCTCCTTAAAAACAACCCACCTCTTTCCAGATAAGACATGCTTTACTTGAATTTATACCCCAACCTCCACCATCTGCTGCCATTTCCTCCTCTATTGTTTGCCCACCAGTGAGACGCATAAATTCGTCGTAGTCGATTTCATTGCGCATAAAACGTCCGAGAGCTCTGTCGTACTCACCATCTTCATCATTAGAAACTAAATGGAAAATGTTTAAGATGCAACATCTTTGGATGATACCAGTCA